TTTCTCTCTCATCGATGTTTCTAACTCTCTATCCCTCTCCCTTCCTCTCTGTAAAAAATCAATAAAATATATTTTTTAAAAAAGAATAAAGTCCTCACGAGGTCATCCAGGGTGTGGCATGTGTCAGCATTTTCTTCCTTTTCAAGGCTGCATAGTACTCCATCACATGAATAGACTACACTCCGTTTACCATTCATCTGCTGACGAACCCCTGCGTTGCTTTGACCTTTAGGCTGTTGTGAGTAATGTTACATTTCAACATTAAAAGATGAAACATAATTTAATCTGTCTTGGATAGGTCAGGACATTTTGAACCATTTTCTAGTAGAGAATTAGGGTAGCCTATAGTCACGTATCAGCTATACTTGTATCATTAAGACTTCACCGGTTGGCGAGGTAGCGCAACATATACTTCTGCGTCTCTGTCGAACGGATAATACTAATTCGACTTTGGTTCCAGGGTTAAGAATGAGATCACAGGTGAGTGCACCTTGTAAAAAAAAGGTGTGTATAAACGTTAGTAGTTAATAACCAGAATGAATTCTGGGTTTTCTTGTCTGCCTTCTGGGGAAGCGGGTGTTGTTGATAGTGGAGATCTTCCAGAATCACGTAGTCCTTCCAGAAATTTCCGACGCTTGACACTCCTTTGCGCACCCACATGACCTGCAGCATCTCTGGCGTCGGGGTGACAGGAGGTGCTGTGCTCCCACGGGATCCACGGTCCTGCGTGGACTCCCCCGTGGAATCCACGTAATTGTCCCGGAGGCCCTGTTGCCATGAGCCCTGATGCGGGCCTCGATCTTGGACCAAGTTAGCTGCTTGAGACCAACCCCTTCCCAGGCAGTGGCTTGTGATCGATTCCTCCCTTCGCGCAGCCATTTACTCGGCAACTTGCTCCCACCTGACCCATCGCCGTCTGCTCAGCGTCTCCCAATTGACCGCCTCCTCCTCCAGCGCCTTCCTTTCTCAGGTGGAGGCGCGCACCCCAAAGACCCACGCGTGGGGTTCAGTGAACGAACCCACTCAGCCGGTGCCTGGTGCACGCTCGCCCTGCTGGGCCCGCATGTGCTCCTGTGGGTGAGTACCCCCGACTCCCAGCATCCTTAGGCCCCGTCCTGGGTGCTCCTGGGGGCCCGGCGGGCGGTGTGTGGATGTGGGTGGGCCTCTCTTTGCTCCTTTCCCCAAAGCTTCAGGAATCACTGGGACAAGCCGAAATCCTGTCGTCTCGCGGGTTTGGGCCTAGACGGCTGGGAATCCCCTCTCTCTCTCTCTCTCTCTCTCTCTCTGGAATAAGTTATCAGAACCGGTTGTGCGTCCCCAGAGGGCAGTGGCTGTCATTTTAGCCCGAAGGCCTGCTTTCTTGGACCCCTGGCTCTGTAGCTTCGGAAATGGGAAGCGTTGCAACCCCTGCCTGAGTCGTGAAATAAATGCCATGTGCGGGGTGGGGGCGCTGCTTGGGTCTCCCGCCCACTTCGGCTCCTTCCTTAATGGGCAGACCCCGGAATGCATGATTCACCCGCCACGGGTTCCACCCCTGCCCCCTGTTGCTTCAAAACGTGGTTGAACTTGGCAGAGCTGGGAGGAAGGGCCGCACGTCTGCCCTTTCCCTGGGCCCAGGCGGTGCCTCGAGGGAGCCCCGAGCAGCTACTGGCCCCGCATTCCCGGTCCTCGCCGCCCATGAGCTCATGCGGGTCAGAGGGGCCACCGCCCGCTGGGGCTCTGCCCTGCTGAGTCACAGCCGACGGGGGAAATGCCACCCAGGACGCCTGCAGTTCCCCCTTTTCTCAATGGGGGTTGGCAGCTGCAGGCTCAGAAAACGGATCGGTCGGGTTTGGACTCCGTGGATAGAGCGTCGTCGGCCTGCGGACTGAAGGGTGCCTCGAGGGAGCCCCGAGCAGCTACTGGCCCCGCATTCCCGGTCCTCGCCGCCCATGAGCTCATGCGGGTCAGAGGGGCCGCCGCCCACTGGGGCTCTGCCCGGCTGAGTCACAGCCGACGGGGGAAATGCCACCCAGGACGCCTGCAGTTCCCCCTTTTCTCAATGGGGGTTGGCAGCTGCAGGCTCAGAAATCGGACTGGTCGGGGTTGGACTCCGTGGATAGAGCGTCATTGGCCTGCGGACTGAAGGGTCCTGGGTTCGATTCCCAGTCAGGGCAGGTGCCCGGGTTGCGCTCAGGCCCAGTGCGGGGCGTGCAGGAGGCAGCGGTCCATGGTCCGGGGTGTGGGGTGGTCCCGGGGCTGCTCAGAAACAGCTCTGGGGGCGTTAGAGCTTGGCCTGCCTGGGGGCGCTCGCCTGCCCCAGATCAGCTCCCACTGGGACGTTTCCTGGGAAGGAGGAGGGTCCTGCCAAGGGCGTGTCTCTTGGAGCTTAGCCCTGCCAGTGTGTCCCGCGTCTGTGCCTTGTGGACACGGAGTCCGTGTGCCTCTCCCCCCTGGTGTCGCCGGGCCAGCTGGACACCACTGTCCAGGGCGGCCAGGCTCAGAGCCAGACGCGGAAACGGTCCCCGGCCTGTCATCTGCCCTTCCCGGGGATGACTCATGTTCCCCTCTTTCCCAGGCCGCCTGGGAGAAAGTTTCTCTCTTCCTCACACGCATATGCACATGTGCGCACACATGGAACACACGCATGCACGTGCGCGCACACGTGTACATACACACGCATGCACAACCTTCAGTAAATTTCTTCCCAGTGGACACGGCCCCAGCCCATCACGCATGGTCTACGTGGCTGACTGGGGCCCAGCTGGCCCCGCTTAGGTGCGAAGGGCTGTGAAAGGTGTCGCTGAGTGAAGTCCCCCAGAGGACCTCAAAGGTCTCGCCTGTGACTAGCATTGACTTTATTATCTACCAGACGCCCGATGCACGAGATTCGTGCCAGGGGCTCGGCCCTCGCAGCCCCGATTTTCGTCGGGATGGTCGCCCGGAAGGATGTCCGGAAGGTCGTTCGGCTGTCCAGTCTAATGAGCATATTAGGCTTATATGATTATTATAGATGTGCAGGGTTATCCCAGTAAGGGTGATTGGGGGGTGAGCAGTGAATCCGGGGTGTGTTTCTAGGTCTGCACAGACGGCGATGCACATTAGTGTCAGCACTTGTGGGCGCCAGCACTCACCACAGAATGCCAACCACTCTCCAGGGCTGTGGCTTGTGAACTTTAAAAAAAATTTTTTTTCCTTTATTGATTTTTCCCCCAATATATTTTTATTGATGTCAGGAAGGGAGAGGGAGAGAGAGATAGAAACATCAACAATGAGAATCATGGATCGGCTGCCTCCTACACGCCCCGTACTGGGGATCGAGCCTGCAACCCAGGCATGTGCCCTTGACCGGGAATCGAACCCAGGACCCTTCAGTCCCTAGGCCGATGTTCTATCCACTGAGCCAAACCGGCTGGGGCTCCTTTATTGATTTTTAGAAAGAGAGGAAGGAAGAAGGATAGAGAGATAGAAACATCAATGATGAGAGAGAAAAATCAGTGATCGGCTGCCTCCTTCACACCCCACACTGGGATCCGGCCTGTGCCCTAATGGGGAATCGAACCGTGACCTCCTGCTCTCTGGGTCGACGCTCAAGCACTGAGCCCCGCCGGCCGCCTCATGAGCTGCTTGATCAGCTGCTGAATCGCCCCGGGTCCTCTCATTACCATGGACTCCTCTGGGTCCTGTTGAGTTGGGGATGCACAGTAGGGCGGTATCAAGGGATGGCTCTAAAGTCACAGGACTGGACCGAATCGGCTCATCAGGACGCGTGCGATCTGCAGAGATGTGTGCGGAGGAGGCCACCCCTGTACTCCCCGAGGCTCCTCTGCTGGGGGCGGTCGGGCCTCTTCACAGGAAGATACAAATCGCGCTTGCTGCTTGGGACCCGCTGTGAGTGTCCGACGAGGCGTGAAGTGACCGAGCTTCATCTCACGCCCTTTTCGTAACTCTCGGCTCTCGGTGATCATTGCCCATTTCCAAAACACGAATATGTCTTAAAAGAATGACAGTGTTGCACCCTGGTTGGTTTGGCCCAGTGGATAGAGCGTCAGCCTGCGGACTGAAGGGTCCCAGGTTCGATTCCAGTCAAGGGCACATGCCTGGGTTGCAGGCTCGATCCCCAGTAGGGGGTGTGCAGAAGGCAGCCAATCAATGATTCTCTCTTATCATTGATGTTTCTGTCTCTCTTTCCC